GGCTACAGTAGCGGTTCCCAGTAGACCGATCTGTATTTTAGCCTGGTGTGCAAGACCATCAACTGATATCAAGCAACGATTCTTTTCATTATTTCAATTATGTCATTATGTTTCAAAAATTCTTGGTTCTGTTCTGTCAATCTTTGTACAGATATGTTGATACCCTGTTTTGCTTCAAATCGCCCAAGACTCGACTCTCAACCACAGGGATGGGAAACCATCGATGCTGGTGATGTCAAAGGCCACTGGATGATTTCCCTGGTCCTAACCATCAGTTCCTACCCGTTGTGGTACTACATGTAAGACACTCAAAGCACCTACATTGATAGTATTTTGCTAAAGTAAAATGCACATCTTTACAACTTAGCATCTATTTTGCTGAAGCAAAATGTAGATTTTGACCATATCTGGGTAGTTTGAAGGTCTAAGCTTCACCCATTCCCATCTGCCACGTTCCGTGCTGCCGGCCCATCTTTTTGAAGCCATCCCCTGGGTCACTCACCGCTACCTTGGCGCAGACAGATGTATTTTGTTGGTCTCTCGAACTTTTGACACAGCGCCTTAAATGGACCCAGTAGCAACATTGGTCCATGTTCACTTCTTATCCCATCCACTAAAAACTTTGAATTCTCCATGGAAATCTCCATGTTTGCCATAGAGTTTTCCATCTGGCATGCTCGAATCACCTCGTTGCATCCTTCTGATCCGTGGTTTCAACCCCCCACAAATGCTGGTCTTTTTGGCTCATCATCCCGAACAGGAAGGAGTTTTGAAATATTTGAACCCAGCCAGTTGACAAACAAATCACCACTTGGTGGCACTGGGACTATTAGTTTATATGAGTTTTTATCTTTCACCGATTCCGTTGACAATCCCGCTGCCACGAAGAGTCCCTTTCCGCCCATTTTTTTCGACCGCACCTCATGGGTCTAGCTCGAAAAGGAGCCTGCAGGTTGGTCTGGTAGGCTAAAGTTTTTTTTTAAGGAATTATGTTTGTCCAGCGTCTTCCAATTGCACTTGCCTAGGTTATTGAATGCAATGCCTAGGCGTGTACTTGTGTTCCACAGCATTTACGGCTGCAAAGCCCTGATGAGTTGTAGAAAAGCTGGGTTGTGACCTGGCTTGAGCGACCTGTTCCGAAGTTGTTCGATCCCAGTAACAAGAGGGCTATGCATTGTGTAAATGTATATATATATATGTAATGGTATGTATATAAATATCAGTACAAGTTAAATACATCATTATACCGATACCTATGTACAATTTTATAATATATATATATATTCATTCTATATATATATATGCATATTTGATCATATTTGTGTAAATAAAACATGCAAATATAATCGATTATGTTTCCGATTATTTTTCCGTATTGTGCATATAAGCATACAGTGTTCATACATTTATGTGATAATACAGTATATTTTCGCAATGATACATGTGGATGTAAACAAGTATACATATTGCATGGAAGGACGTCTCAGAGAATCAAAATGACTAATTACCCTCCCAAGACTTGTAGTTTTGGATCCGAAAATGAATGAAAGTTGCAACAACCATGTTTTGTTCATTAACAAGTAGGATTTAAGCAACAATGCGAACCCCCAAAATAAAATAAGGGGCTGAGGGACTAAAACTGTTTGACCCCAGAATTTCAGACCCATTTCTATCCTAACCAGTACAAACCTTTGGATCCTTGTCTGGCCATGTCTGGCCATGTCAGCGAAATAGTGATCAACCCAGGAAGCCTCTACCAAATCCATCCCCCAATCCTGGCAGAAGTGACTTGGATGACAACTTCTCCCATGATGAAACGTGAGGGACCAGAGAGGTACAGTAGGTGAACTTGATTGCATTCTCCCTATTCAGAAGTATATACCGACCCATCTTTGCATGAGGATTCTAGAGCATCTCTGGAGTAACCAACATTAACCAACCCCCAACCCAGGCTTCTAAGAGCTTTGTCTGGCTCTTGGCATCGGGCCGGTGAAACTTCCACGTGATCTGCTGCAAAAGCGTGGCACGAGGTCATCACTCCGTGACAGCATGCAGAAAACCACAGACCATTAATGGCCATTGCCCCCAAAACCATCCGTTTTTTGCGGGTGGTTGAACGAGCCCAAATCGAAACAGCGGAATCGACCAATATCTTTGGGTTGGAACAACGGCATTTCTCATGGATTTGGGGCCAGCGGCAGATAGCGGCAGGAGCGCTCGGCTGTGAATATATGTGTGGCACATTCACTGACTGTTGATGGATACCCTCTGGTAATCTAACATAGCTATTGAAAATGGCCATTTATAATTAGTTGATTTACCCATTAAAAATGGTGATTTTCAATAGCTATGTTAAATTACCAGAGGGTATTGCTTATTGATTTCCCTCTGGATCTTGGATGGCAAGAAGACGCCAGCAAGATGATGTGTTCACGTCCGGCCATATGGCGAAGCCGCAACAGAAACTTCCGAATCAATTGGTTGCTTGGGTTCAGAATTTTCCCATTGACACGGCACAACACAACCTATATTGAATTGGCCTACCATTCACCAGTCAGTTAAGCTAATATCCCAATGATAAGATTTCGCCTGAAGTTCAGCCAAGTTCAATTTTCCATCATGACACAGCTAATCTTCGATTGTCTGTGTTTGATAATGACCCCCATTTCCAACCATAAAATCAATGCCGTCCCACTGTCAGGCAAAAGAATCATTTATTGGGTTTGGCCAGACATCTTCGGTGTCTAGAGATTTCGGGATTGTTATCGCTAGCGCCGAGCGGTATCTCCTAATTTTCAACAAATATACTCACTATTGATTGGCCACTGTTGTTTAGGCCATCAGTTTTGGTCACAGAAATCCCCGTGTTTGGCTGTAATTAATGTCTGCCACATGATCCAAGTGCCGGAACTTGACATGTTCGGCCACTTTGGCGCGGTTAGCCTTGTTAATCAGCGATCATGGTAAAATCATGCTGGGTGTTTACAATTCAATCAAATACAGCACAGTATCATGTTAACACTTATCATATCATATCATATCATAACAAATCATATCATATTGAACAAATATAATAATTGGTAAATGATGGTAATTTGTATATGTATATATATATATATATTATAGTTGTATACGCATATAAATATACATGGCATATGCATATGCAAAAGTATATTATGTACGTGTACATGCATATGTATGTGCATGAGTACGTGTGTATGCGCGTGTGTATGCGCGTGTGTATGCGCGTGTGTATGCGCGTGTGTCTATCTATCTGTCTGTCTGTCTATCTGTCTGTCTGCCTGCCTGTCTGTCTGTCTCTGTCTGTCTCTGTCTGTCTCTGTCCGTCTCTGTCTGTCTCTGTCTGTCTATCTATCTATCTATTTATCTATATTTCTTATCTACCTACCAACCGATCTATCTATTGATCTATCTGTCAAGAACTCAATCTATCTGTCAATAACTCAATCTTTCTGTCAATAACTCAGAACTCAATCTATCTGTCAATAAGTGAAACCATCAATAACTCAATCCTTCAATAACTCAATCTATTCAAACTCAATCTATCAATAAGTCAATCTATCAATAGGTCAGTGTACCAAAAATCCAATCTATCACAACTCAACCTATCAATAACTCAATCTATCAAAAACACAATCAACCAATCAATCAATCAATCTATCTATCTATCTATCTATGTAACAATGTAGCTATGTGAATATGTAACTATGTAACTAACTGTCTATCTATCTATCTATCTGTCTGTCTGTCGGTCTATCTATCTGTCTATCTGTCTACCTATCTAAATATATATATCTCTCTCTCTGTGTGTCTGTATGTCTGTATCTCTGCATCTCTGTATCTATGTATGTATGTATGTATGTATGCATGCATGTATGTATGTATGTATCTACCTACCTACCTATCTATCTATCTATCTATCTTTGTATGTATGTATGTATCTATGTATGTATGTATGTATGTATGTATGTGTGTGTCTGTATGAATGCATGCATGCATGCGTGCATACATCCATGCATGTATGTATGTATACTATGTAATGTAATGTCATGGTATGGTATGGTATGTAATGTAGTGTAACCTAACGTAATGTATGTACATATGTATGTACAAATGTATGTACGTACATATGTACGCACGCACGTATGCATGCACATAATGCATGTAATGCATGTAAAGCTGGTAATGAATGTACTGTGTGCAATACATGTAATGTATGAAATGTATGTAATGTATGTAATGTATGTCATGTATGGAATGTATGTAATGTATGTACTGCATGTAATGCATGTAATGCATGTAATGCTGGTAATGCTGGTAATGTATGCAATGTATGCAATGTATGTAATGTATGAAATATATGAAATATGTATAATGCGTGTAATGTGCATAATGTATGTAATGTATGTAATAAATGTAGGGTTAGGTAATGGATGTAATGTTATGTAATGTCATGTTATGTAATATGTATAATGTATGTAATGTATGTAATGTATGTAATGTATGTAATGGTATGGTATGGTATGGTATGGTATGATATGGTATGTAATGGTATGTCATGGTCCGTACTGGTACCTAATGGTACCTAATGGTACCTAATGGTATCTAATGGTCTAATGGTACGTAATGTATGTGTCTGTCTGCCTGCCTGTCTGTATAAATGTTATGTATTTGTCTGTAGCTATCTGTTTGTGTTCGTATGTGTATGTGTCTGTGTGTATGTTCACCATATTGGGGTGGATTTCCCAACCTATAGATCTGGGTAAATTATATTATATAATATTTCACTAACCTGAAATAAGGCCATTTGGGGATGATTTCCCTTACTAACCATGATTCCAGTGAGGTCGCAGTGAGGTCGGTATAATTTACCCAGATAGATGCTTTTCCTATAGTTGCCATGGTATTTTCATCCCAGTGCACGAAGCTACCAGTGCCACACACGGATCACAACGGGCGGGCCCCACTCTTGGACGTCATTATCGCTTGGACGTCCCGGCCTTGGCCTGGCGAAACTTGGATTCGGTGATGGTTAAGAACAAACATAGACCCTGGCAGTCATCGGGGCTGGAAGACTAGTGAAACCATTAACAATGGGTGATTTTCAGGGTCTATGTTAATTTACCAGAGGGTAATAGGGATACCCTCTGGTCAACTAACGTAGCGAACTAGAAAATCACCATACTTTTAATGGGTAAATCCACTATTTCTATGGCCATGTTCAATAGCTACGTTAAATTACCAGAGCGTAGAAGATGTGATATCATCTTATCTAATAAATCTAATATCAAATAAAAAAATACTTCATATGAGGAAGCCGAAAGTGATTAGATCCAAGACTACGTCAGGGTCTCTGGGAAGTAGTAGGAATTATACACATTGAAACATCTTAGATCGACACATTGAAACATCTTAGCCCATCAGATCAGTGGTGATGTTGTGTGTCCTTGGTGCTTTGCTGATTCTGTTGTACAACATAAACATCCACTGAGATATGTTCAGTAAACCTTTCTAAATTCTAAGCCCCGAAAAACAAAACTCAGAATCCATTTAAAATGTTCAAGTTGATTCAAAATACCAAGAAAAAACAACAGTTTTGCTCCTCCGTATCGATCCGTGGAAGTACGACTTTGCTTACGGAATCCCCAGAGAAATTGTAGATCTCTACCATCAAGACCGTTCAACGTACCATATGTATAACCTGGTAACCTATCCACGGGTAATTCATAAGAATATACAAAATGATACAAATATGCGTAGCAAAATACATCCCTACGAACATGGCACGCATGCTTAAACTATGCACACACACACACCAACGTTTGCCTTACAGAGGCTTTGTCTGAAAATAGGGTACCTCTAAATTCGAAGTCCACTGGTTGATCTCCATGTTGCAATTCACATGGTGATTTCATGGGGGGTAGACAAGTATACCCCATGATTAGCCCATTTCCATAGCCCTGCCATGTTGAAACTCCGCACCTGATCCTTTGGGGCCGGGTCCACCACCGGGTCGTCCTGTTCATGGGGAGTCAATGGCAATCCCAAAAGAATATGAGGAAAAAGATCTTTTCAAAAGAACAGTTCACTAAACTAAGTCGGGATCTTAAATCATTTGATTCTACAGTTCTAATGTATGTTCATTCGTTGAGCTCATGAGTGATGAGGGAGAGGAACTTCGAGCAATAGGCGTTGCTATACTTTGTGAAAATTGGAGCATATGCGTCTTTCTTCCGTTATTGTGATTCTTCCCTCGTTGTTCCTTCCTTTCTTTTTTTGGTCTGTTGTGTCCTTTCTGTCTCCTCTTGTTCCTTCCTTTATTTTCCTTCTTTACGCTTTTCTTTCTTTATTGTTCTCCTTTCATCGTTCTTTCCTCTGTTCACTTCTTCCTTTCCCTTTAAAACTCCAGCAAAGGTGGGGTGCCTTTCGGGATTCACAAAATCTCAGGAAGGTGCTTGACATTACTCTATTTTGTAAATGCATAGTTCATGGACTACCCCCTGGGAAATTTGTTTGGGTGTTGCTCTTTCCCTTACATGATAATACATGTAAGAAAGGAATATATATATATATATAGCATGGCTTTCTCAACCTGAAAAAATCGGCTGATTTGGTCTTCCTGCAAAAATAATCTATGAGAAACACGTACAGTACGATGCAGCCAGTGCAGGGACAGCAAATGCAATTCTTGACGTAATTTAATGCCGTCCAACCAATATGAGTACTACATCGCATGCATGGAACCAGTTTGAACACCATGGTGGCACCTCAACCCTCAATTGACTCAGAAACGTTGATATTTTACATCAACATGTGGGGTACATTTTTCCATGTTCTTGGGTACTTTAAGGGTCTAGATAGTTGTTTAGATTGCAACGTAGCTAGACAAGCCTCATGCTGGAATTGTGGTCGTCCTTGGGATTCCGTGTCTTGTGTTCAAAGGTCACCTTGAATTGCATCAATGGGCGCAAAAAGAAGAAACAACATGAAACAACACATTCTCTATAGATTTCTGAAATGCTCTGGGTGTATAGATTTGAGAATATCAATATCACCTCAAGAGAACCTGGGTTAATGGTTCACCCCTGTTTTCGACTCACTGCGCAGTTTGTCTTCAAGTCCTTCGAATAGTCAATCACGTGCCGGTGCAGCATATAGTTTTGGTCCAACTGTCAATCTTCGCAATGCGGTAGAGCAATTTTAAAAAATAGTACCCAATTTACCCAATGAGTGGGTTTTCTTGAGTGTATACTACATAATACACACATTATCTATCACATATCTATCACTATTATATGATGTTTCTACATACCCTCCAGCCAACTGAAATCGAAGTGGAAAACCACTGGTATCCAAGGGATAAACTATCAACAGTTGCACCACTATGTTAGTTGGGCTGAGGGTTGGTGTAAGTGCGGCCAACTGGTCCTCGAAATCCTCCTCTTCTTCGCCCTCTTCATCTTCGTCGTACCACTCTTC